TTTAAACGTTTAAAATAGATGTACTATAATAAAACAATTTTAAAATATAAAAAAATAATTTTGTTCATACGCAATTTACTGGAAGGATTTCACATGATTTTCGCATGCTTTTAAAACTGCGAAAACTCCATCATCGTATATTCATGTCATAAAAGAAAATAATAATAATGAGCTAAAATTAAGTGGTACATTTATAAATATACGTATATATGTATATACATTATTTAACTTAGGAAATATGTATTTTTTTTGTTTAGTTAAAATTTTTATAATAATCTGCATAAATACAAATATTATTTTCAATTACTGTTTAACAGTTAATAATAGATTTTAAGTTGGAAGTCTAAGATCTCTGTACAAACATTCATAATGCGCAGCTTATACTTAGTGTAAAACGTTTACGTGATTAATTAACGATATAGGTATTATATGGTAAATAAATAGCTATTATCTAGACCTTAAAAAATTTAAAAAATATTTTAACTATTTTTGAACAATTTAATATTTTTCTTGACATTTAAAATGTTCGATATTTTATATAAATATCAACAGAAAAATGTATTTATGCAAAAAAATTTGAGAATATAATATAAGGTACTAAAAAATAGTTTGTGGTTTTAGCAAATTTAAAAGTACTAAAAATATAAGTCCATGATTTTTATGTCCTGAGTGAACGATATATGTATTAATTTTGTGACGATATGTACGATTTTTCGTATATATATATATATATATATATATATATGATAAATCTGTATGGATTTCACATACTTCAGAGTTGCGTATATTATATATCATAATGGAATTGTCTGTATATTTAGACTATTGCATTTTAATCACCGATGTATACTATGCAGTATTGGCTTATAAATAAATAAAAAGAATATATTATAGTACTTCTTATAGTTTATAATATTCGCGATGTTATAAGAAATAAATAAGTTCAATATATAAATTATAATAAGTAAAGAATTATAAAAAAAATCATACTATAATTTGTAGTTTAATATTACCTTTACGATTAAATACATTTTACAAGACATCAATGAAATCATACATACTATTACGTATTAAACCTGTGTAAAATCCAAAACACTGTTTTGTGCAACGTGTCAACTTTAGTATGAAAACATATCACAATTATACTGAAAATCGCATTTGTACATTCATGAAATCCTTGATTACATTAATTTGCGAACACGTGTGCAACTTGCGGTGATAATATCGTTAATCCCTTTATACTCGAACAATAATTATGTCCGTATAATGTTTATATTAATATGTATTAATATATAAATATTTATATATTATTATATATATATAAATCGTTATATTTTGGTGTTGATCGTATAAATTAATGCGTTTCTCCGTCGTAAAATATGCTCCCTTCTAAAACCGTCCGAATTGTTCTTTCTCCCTCATCCGAATACGTTGATTAATTACTAACGATTGTCATACAGTGCACGGTAGTTAAATTGTGACACAGTGATGAATATCGACCAGATTTAATATTAAAATATTGTAATATAAATTATAATAATAATATGACGTGTTGTGCGAACGTGATGGTGGCGGCCGACAGTTGTAACGATAGCTATTTACACAGCGAAAGTGTACCAGACAATCATATTATTTTTGTCTACGGTATAATAATAAAAGTAATAATTAAATTTATAGTAATAATAATAATAATAATAATAATAATAGTAATAGTAATAAGTACTTTATTCTATATGAAATTATGTTACACCTATACATATACACTATACTATGTATTATAGAATTTTCGTTTCTATCAGTGGCATAAAAAATGAATCAGCATGAAGAATGTTTTTAACTTACGTTATGACAGATTCTATCACCTTTTTTTTTATTCTTGAAAACTTAAGTATATGTTTACTGTAAAAGTAAACCACATTGGTTAGAATTTACAGAAAACGATTGGGGTCAAACAATGCTGTAGTGGTATTAATTTTGTGTTGAAATTAAATCCCAGCACGATAAATATAACTACTGAAATCATCATAAAAATCCAATATCAAAAAAACACTCTGCTATGTATGTTTTCAGTTACATTACAATTACACTGCTATAGCTAATGGTAATAAATATGTATGTAAATCCAACAGAGCTAAGGATAATCACTTCACCTTTGACCCCACAGTAAATGTTGACTATCTTCATGTTTTTTTAAATTTAAAATGTATTTGAGATTAATCAACAATTATAATAATTAACAAGGAATAAAATTTGGTATTGTATTGTATTTTATTTAAATTATATTTATTTTTTTATGTTAAAAAATATTAAATAAAAATATTTTTAATGATATAACAATAATAACTATTACTGGACCTTTTTCTTAATCGAAATAAAATTATTGAGATAATATGAATAAAATATATTTGAATTATTATGATTGCCTAAACATTATTGGATAATTTCTGATAAAATTGATTTATTCTAATATTTTATGATAAAACTTTATATATAGAAATAGTTTTTCTTTAGTGAATATGATTTGGTATTTAAAAAGATAACAGTGTAGTACGAATTATATTTTTTTTTTGATTTTTTACCAAAATTAGTTGTATATCCTAAGATTTACTATAGTTCCGTTGTAAAAGACTAAACAAAATTAGTTTATCAAAATTTAACTATATAATTTTGTATATTATTCCAAAATTAATCAATATCAACATTCTCTAAGTCTAGGTTTAATTTCGTATATTCATACTTTTATCTTTTTACTCGTATATTTATAACAATAATAAATTTAATTAAGCTAAAACTAAAAAATGTATATATATACATGAATGATATGAAATGAGTTCTTATGGAAACTTTCAAGTAAATAAGTAATACTAAGATATTACTTACTTCATAACACAGGCTTTATTTCAATAAGTAACTACAAAAATAATATCTATACAGCGCATAATAATATTGTAATATTGTAAATAATATAGATTTTAGTTATGTTATAGTTAAATAAATAAAATGATAAAAAAATCATATTTTTATATGTTTCACAGCGAAGAACTTTCTCATATCAAATCATTTCAATGTCATATTCAATTATCGCATATTTTTACCATTCCATTTGCATATAATATTTACCATATATATTATTTCACACATACGTATGCTTACAAGATTGCAATAATCATATTAAGAGATGCTTGTAATAGGTACAAAAACGTATTTTGGGTAATATTCATGTACACAATTTTCATCCCCTCAAATTACACCTCTGATTATGTAAACAAAGCATGTACACAGTCATTTATATTACTAAAGGTCTTTTTTTTTTTATTTTTTTTTTTTTTTTATGAGATAATTGTATTTCTCGGTTTGAATTTATTGCTTGAAATGTTCTGTCCCTTCATAATATTCCCTCCTGGGCTCACAAATGAAAGTGTAATATTTTTATATCAATGTGACCTCCACGTAACTCAGGTCCAAAGGCACGTTATAACAACCACTTGGTTTTGGTATAGAGTAGAGCGCGTAGATCTGTACACAGTACATGTTTATAATATAAAAACTAATATGACGTAGCAGCTTAGGGGATAAAACTAGTCAAGGACATATATATATATATATCGGAAAATTCGAGTTATTTTGTTTATGTATTATTTGCTTTTAACTTAAGTGACTGGTAAACATTGCACAGCACGACTGGCGGAGAGGATACGGCAGAAAATATTATGCATTTCTATATAGGCGCCTCTTGTGTAGTACAATGGCGGTGGCGGCATTAGCAGTCCGATGGGAAATCATCCAAGATGTTACAGCGAGATTTTTTTTTCATGTTTTGCTAAACTCTAAACCTAATGGACTGAAATAAAAACATCTCGCTGTTCCGTTTAACAATACGCCGCGGTGACGACGGAGATCGATACTAAAATAATTCTAGAGGTAATTTTACGCCACAAGCCCGCGGCGTTTGTATGAAATACAATATTATTTATAATATTATATACGTCAATACGCAGTCAGAATCGCCAGATATTATTATTATTATTATTGTTATAACGATACGCAAGAACTTACAAATTGCGTGGGGTTTTTTTTCCGCGCCTACTTACTCCCTTCGGAACAGTATTCACGTTATTATAATATAATGTAATTGCATGTCGAGAGTTTAATCTGAAATTAAATACGTTACGTATACGTCGTGTATTTGGACTTTGGATCCAATTAAAACCTATTTCTATATTTTCTACACGTCATATACCTATTTACGCACATTTACATTATATTCATACAAGTATATCGTAGGTACTACAATTTACCTCCCGTGAAGGTTGTGTTTACGTATATATCATGAATTATGATTATAATATATAGAAGATTCGCTAAATATGCCCTTTCCTTTTCTCTTCAACAATTAAGTTATTCCAAACATGAATTTGGAAGTTTTAGGTATACGTTTAGTTCGTTTTTTTGAATACTCTATAAATTTTGTTACATTCAAAGAATACCATGTAACGATATCAACAGCATGGAACTTATGTTTTTAAAATTAAATTATCTGACCCTTTTTACATTAAATTATCCAGAAAATGTATTTATTTTATTTTTTGAAGTACCTAAATTAAAATTGTAAGTTGTTTTCGAATTGTTAAGCATAATTTATATCGAGGATATTTTTCAAAACAATTTTTAATAACTACTATCTTTATTAGGTATACACATTCTTACAACTTTAAAACTACTCGTTTATGGTTTGATCAAAAACATTAAAATTTTGAAAAACATAAGCAAACATCTATTGAATAACTTAAATTAAAAAAGAGATCCATAAAAAAAACAAAAATTTGAGCCGCCACGGAGTACTCTTTAAGTAATATAAAAAATCTCAAATCGACTTAAAGTATATTTTAAAGTTCTAATTTTCAGATTATGAAAAACTGCATTATTGAAGAAAAAATAAAACGATATTGCTTAATGAATCGCTTTGCATAAGTATGTGCATATATTTTATTATAATATACCTGTTAGTCCGGCTCTTTCTTTCGCGTTCCACTTCTTCTCGCCTTGCGTTCTTCGTTGACGTTCCCGGCTTGCATCTGGCCCGGTCGTTAAGTTTTAACCAAACTCGAACATAACAAAAGGCTATGATCAGGAATGGCAGAACAAACTGTAGGATGGCAGTAATCGCACCGAAAATCTGAAAAAATCGTAAAAAATAAATTAATATTAATATGTGAGATCACGTCTCATTGAAGATATTTTAGGAGTACACTGACAAAATATACGTTGGAGGATTGTGTTTTTGTCAGCCTTCACACTACAGCGATACATGAATAATAGCCAATTATGAATCATCTAATATACGAATTACATAGGTTAGTGTGTTTGTTATGAAGTTCAATATACAATACCTAATGAATCATTTTAGTCCATAAGTGATAAACTATTAAAAAACCTTAAATATTTTATAAAAAGTTTTTGTTCAAAATTTATTTTTAAAACTGTAATTATATACAAAAGAAAAGCATCAAATAGAAAAAAAAAAGAACTAGAACAGCAGCTAGTCATTTAAGTAATAGATTGTTTAGTTTATATACCTACTTATGATAATATTAATAATCGTTTACCTTTTTTATCTTATTTATTACAACCACTCCGTCCTCTATTATTGTGTATAATAGATAAAACATATATACCAAAAAATAATGATTATTGCCAAAATGCCAGTAAATAGGTGTGGTTCACTATTTTTTAAAACAAATACGAAATATTTAACAAAGTATTAGGTACTTATTATTGATTAATTTAATAAAATTTATAAGGACCAATTGGTATTGAGTTAGCTTCGAATACATGCAAAAGAAATAAAAATGAATGATTTTTATTTGAATTAGGGTGTTATGAAACATACTATTTTAAAACCAAAATTAAGAAATCTGCTTTAAATATAATTATATTCTCGTTTTTACATAAAAATCCATGTCATATAATAATATAATAAAAAAGTTATTCAGCTTTTTTCAAAACCATTTTTTTTTTAGTTAATTGGGTTAACATTGTTAGTGCGTGGTCATGGACCACAGATGAATAGTTGCATTATTTTAAGTGTCTACTACGGGCACTCAAAGGTACTAAACAAGATATCTAGCTGGCGAAAGATCAAATAAAATTACTGAAAATTAAACTATTTGATTTATGATTACAATTATTTAATTTGTGTTTTATTTCTGGTAATCGAAAAAAATATTAATTATTCATATTTATGTATTATAAGTATAGTGATATAGATATTATTAAACTAGGTAAATACATAAACTGAGGTTGATTATAGGTATATGTTGCAAGTTAATATTTTCAGGTTAAAACATCGATTTTTACTTTTTTTTTTTAAATTAAATTATTGCGAATTCAGATTTAAATACATATTTATATTAACAGTGAAAAAATATTTTATGTTTGTTTTTTTCAATTTTATCATAAACGAAACAAATTATTTTGAATTCATTATTTTGGAGTACAATAAAATGTAGAAAGATTTTATAATAATATATCCAAATATATTGTTGTTATATTGTGAAACAAAAATAAGTATCTTATACATGACTTCATAGTTTATTATGTAAGAAAAAACAATGTATAAAATTGTTGAAATTATTATTAACTTATTTTAAATTTCTAACAAAACGTAGAAAATATTCAAAAACTATTAACGCAGGTACTAATAAAGGTATAAAACTATTTTGTGTTTTGTAGAATATTTTATTATAAAATCAGTTCAGATAATCAAAATTAAATTGAACATGCAGTATGTCTTAAAAGATTTATAAAATATTTTATTTAGAAATTATCTTTGATAAAAATATGTTATATTTGTGAAGTAAAACATTTGAAAACTTGCTATTGATATGATGATTACAATTCGTTATTCTTTTATTCTTTTAAGTCTTAAAACGATTTTCTGTGATAATTATAATATTGTCTTAATATATTGTTTTTAATTCACTTTTTTATTAGTTTAATTCAGACGATACTGAATATTTACTCGTACAATAAAAAATACTTGTAGACATTTTTTTTTTTTTGCTTAAGCGATATACTTAAAAGCATAGATTTTAGATATAAGAGATACACTATATAAAACGCTTAGGTTAGGTTAGGTCTTTAACATCTAACTAATTGGAATTAGACTTATAGACTTATATGTTAAAAACGCTTTTTAATAACCAAATATGTTTAATGTATGTATTTTTTTGTTATTTTTTTTCTCTCTAAAAAAAAAAAATTAAAGACGTAGTATAATGTAGAACATCACTTCGCCGTGTTAAAAGTAAAATGACAAGTAAATAAATTAATAAAATTGCAGCAGATACCTACTTGTAAGACGGACAAAATTTAAACGAAAGATTTTTCACAATAGACAATCTTGAACGGAGGGGAGATTAGATAATAAAATCTAAAACGTTATAAAATATCCTTAAAAATCCTAAACTAATGTATTATATATTATTATACTACCAATACGTACGTATTATATATATTATATAAGTATTATAAAATAGTGTTAAACTTACAAACACAACTTGATTTTAGACATAGCACAGCATAATAAAATAAACTATAATATTATTTTTTGTTGCAGTTGATACATAAACAGGTCTTAGAGAGGTAATATATAACAATAATAATATTAATAATTATGAAGTGTAAGAAAATAAATATAACGTTTTGAGCGCGAAGATTAGACAATAATACAATATAATTATTCTCACGTACACGAGCAATTATACGTATAGTTCACTGACTTACTGGGATATTAGATAATAATTATTACCATCTAGGCAATGTAAGTTACATTAACTATAATTCCATTAAGTTTATGTTTTACATTACAATGGAACAGCAGAAATTTTATTATTGTTAAACGCTTTGGAAAATTACGTTTCCTATTGCGGAGTAGAGTGCAGCTATACATAAATCTAAAAAAACGCATACATGCAGTCTCACTTTATTTGTACCTATTGTACAGTGTACAATATTTAAATAACAGCCATCATAAATATAATAATATAAAACTAGTAATAATAAAAAAAAAAAAAAAACGATGAACGGCAGAAGTTTCTAATAATAAAATACATAAATAAACAATTATTGTATTATATACTGCAGTTTTATTTTTTTTTTTAACTTTTGATTCCTTTTTTCTTTTTTAAAATATAAATACAACAAGATTTTTGAATTAAGGTCATGATTTCAACTTAATACATAGATAAAATAATTTTATAGTAAGTTGGTAAATTAATTGACATATTTGTGTTTTTAGTTCACACATGTACTTCTTTTTTATTATTATTATTATTAAAATTATAATTATTATACTTTATTTAGGGTGTAGAAGAAAGTAATTTTAATTTGCTTTTGGAATATAAAATCTAAAATAAATGTTTTAATGATAATATGACACTATGTAACATTAGAAATAGTAATGCAATTAATAATGGATATTATTATATAATTAAATACCTACGTTTTCGAATCAATGTTTGTTACTCTAACGTTAAACCTGCGTAAATCACCAGTATGTTGCGCTCTAAATATATATCAACATTTATTCTAAAAAAAAATCTATTATAACGTCTGGTTTACTTAAAAAATGATAAAATTTGTATTTAATTTAAAAGTGCAGTTTTTGTTTTTAGTTCAAATGTAAATTCTAATTTTTAAAACAACAACGTTACCATAATTTCATCATTATCATACGTCGTAACATTGTGTGTCTCGTTTTAGAATATGCCGAGTGCAATAGCAGTGAACTTTACTTATATAGCAGTAATTAAATTCTAATCTACGTCTGCAAAAATTAAATCCAAATAAACTTTCAAAAATTTTGTTCTTAAATATTTATGTAATTTAAAGATAAAATAAAACTGTAACTATTTCATACAGCAACTATTCAATCTTTTCATTTATCAATTTATTACTAAAAATATGAGCAGACCTTTATCTATTAGAAGAACTCTTGCTGTATCAAATAGTGAAAAATATAGCTTTTTTAGTACTTTTAAACAAAATTAGTCACAAAAAAAAATATAAAAAATCAAAAATTATTTCGCTCTACAAATGGTATCAAAAGTATGTGCAAAAGACAAACCTGCCTCAAATAAGCAATTTTTTTATAACAATTATCCTGAAGAGTGTATAGATGGCAAAGTCAAATAAAAATTACTCTTATCTATACTTGCAAGTAACGTTATTAACATTATTGGGTATTTGCTCAAACATTTTTGAACTGATTAACATAAATAGTAATTATAATATTTAAACTATAATTTCGGAAAGCTTTTTAAAGAATTAAGAAAACTATATACTGACTATTTGGGCATTCACAATATTATTGTATACAATTAAAATTCTGAAAAAAGTGAAAACCGTAATGAGTAAAACGTTTCGAAATACTACTTCATAAAATAATTATTAATTAAATTCTTAATATTGGTTTATTTCGCTGATTCTTTTATTACATCAAAGACAAGTTTAATTTATTATTATAAATTTAACAGGTTATCATTTTTTTTTTTTTTTACAACCTAATATAAGACGATTCGTTTAACTAATGATTCCGAATGTGTTCACGATCGAACCATCAATCCCCATGAGTTAAAATGCTCGTATAATTCGTGCTGAATCAAAAAGATCAGGAAGAAGAAATGTGCAATTATATGATGGACAGATATGAGAGTGTTAGATGGTGTACTAAGATTTGGCAAAATATTTTGGAAAATCTTCGTATTTCTTCAATGAATGGACTTGAATACTGATAGTCTATTGACCGTATAATAACCATTTGGGCGTAATCGTCTGTACTTTATCGTTTGGACGTGAGTCGTATTTATTTTGAAATTTCAAATTAATTTAAAAAATATTAGTTCTCAAATGCTCTACTTGTACATTATTTGTATGTTAACGTAATTATACTAGCTATATATATATATATATATGATAAAATAACTCTTTAATAAGAACGAAGGATCACAAATTTACCCATTAAGCTTATGTTACACGTACTGACAGAGAATATAGATTTAAACACAGTACACTACTGCAGAATGCAAATGAATAATAAGTATTAACTTAAAAACATTCTAAAACCTTTTGTATAGCCACCTGCACTCTGATAGAAAGGTATATATAAAGGGGTCG